TCAACTAGACAGGAAAGAAAAGTAACCCATTTAAAAAAAAAAACTGGAAAACAAAATAAACTTTCCTAACTGCGACTATCATGTACTCAGTTTTCTTCGAAAATCCAATCACTGATACTAATAATAAATATTAAGCTCAGAAGCTTTTTTGGACAACAAAAAAATGGCCGAGATTTTTTTCTCTATAAATCGTTGCTTTTAAAATTTTATCTCGATGATTTACTCCCTACTTTGTGTATAAGAATATTTCGGGGACAAAAGATGGGTAATGGAAAACAGGTGAAGCGTTGCGCTGTCGTTATTTATGGTGTTCTGTAGGTTTTTATTAATGGCTCTTTTTTTATAACTTAGGGGGTGACGTCACACCTTTTTTTAGAATCGTCCCTCGAAATATCAACTCTTTATGGAACATCAATGGTATAATTGTTTAGCGACAGGGATTGGCTTGATGACGGAAACTCTGCTAGACCACGATATATTCTACATATCCTAGAACATTTGATAATTCACATAAAACGTCACGCAAAAGCAACGGAGCTGATTTTGAAATAACTAAATGTTTTAAAGCATTTTTTTATTTATGTTCATCCTTACCCTTTCCTGGGCATGGGCCTTCTCTTTTTTTATGCCAAAAGGATCGATCTCCCGCCATTCTCATCCACGTCCATCCCGCCGTCTTGACTATGTCACTGGCCAGCGGATCATAGCTCTTGCGTCACCTCTTCGACATAATCTTGGCCACCGTTTCTTCACTATCTTACTCCATCGGTTATCATTCTTGCTAAGTGTCTAGCTCAGCACAATTTCAGATCCGCTACTCTCTTGCTAACATCTGTTTAATTTTCTTTTGCGGCTAATCTGGGTATTACGGACCCGATGATATATCGGGTTGATACCCAAATAGAGCGCTCTATTCCGTAAAAGATCTCCTCCGTATGATAATTTGGACAAAGTGCATTGAATGTAGTCTTATCTTACTAAGCTTTAAAATTTCTTAAGCATGTCCTTCTTCAAACGAGGCTTATGGAGAGTATTAAGCGGTAGGCGGCGGCTTGGCTCTGCCACTGGCATTGCTGAAGTCCATGGGCGACGGTAACCACTCACCATCAGGTGGGACGTATGATAGCCGGCTTAAAAAAATAAATAATTAGATTTAAAAAAAAAATCTGACTAAAGTCACGGGAGATGCGTATACAACCAAATACCAATTTTCCCATAACCGGTATGTTTCATGTATGAAACATATGTATTCGTTTGAATTCAAATTTAACGCGAATGGAGAATCTCGCAGTACCTTAAACCTTATATCTCAATCGTAAATAAAAGTCGTACAGCTCATTACTTACGAACGACATTATGGTCTTAGAATGTCTTACGCGTGAATAATTTAATCTGGTTTTCCATTAAAACGTTTTGAGTAAGTCGATTTATATTCAGCTTGAATCCCAATATTGCCGAGTATGGCCTTATGAAAAGATTACGCTCATATCGGTAAGTATTTTTGAATATTTATCTGCGCGATGTCATTGAATTTCGGTTAAAGACGATTTTAGGGCTTGCTCGCACGTGTCAAGGTCGCTTTTTGACTGCGAGGTAAGATAAAACATATCCAATGATAAAGTAATGATGACGCATCGGCTACAATAAGCGTCATGTCTATTTCTCAAATTAATCATGTGATTCGATTTAGACGGTTTAATTTACACCTGTTTTTTTTGCTGTACATGTAGTTACGACTCATCTGATGACAGGTATCGTGGCATTCCGATAGAGGCACCCGTCACGTGCGGACGTGCTCATCGACCACTCGATCGCCCGGTCTTTGTTCGCCCGGCTTTTGTTAGCCCGGCCATTGTTCGCGCGGCCTGTGTTCGTGGTACATCTGCCGACTAAGTGCTCTTCCTGGAAGTTTTTATTTGTTTCGTTTCCTTTTGTTGTTTCTGTGTTCGTGGTACATCTGCCGACAAACTGTTTTCCTGGAAGTGTTTAATTGTTCTGTTTCTTTTTGTTATTTCCGTTTTGTTGTGTTTTTTCTTTGTCCTGTAGTAATCGTGCCGCATCGCCACCTGTGTTCAATAGAACCGCTCAGGTCCGAGAAGTTGGGGCCTCGCCGCAAGGCGAGTGTTTTCAAGACCCGGGGCCGCCCCACCTGGGCACTCAGCGATCATGGACGCTGTATTCGCGGAATTCCTCCGACTTCGCCACCCACAGCTCGCCTCAGAGTTTCTGGCCTTCAAGGCCGATCACACCGCGAGCCCTCTCGTGGACTCCGCCGAGCTCGCTGCTCCTGCGTCGCCTGTACCTGCGTGCAAAGCTTCTGCATCGAGCACCGCAGCCTCCGTCGTGCCTGCCGTTCCCGCGTCGCCTATACTGGCGAGTAAAACTGCTGCGTCGTCCGCCGTGGCCACCGTTCCAGCAGCGCGATCATCCGCAGCCTCCGTCGTGCCCTCCAAAACACCTGCTCGTAGGTCACCTGCGCCCGCCTCCTCGTCCTCCGACTCTGACTCGGAGATGGAGGTCGACCTCGCTCCCGCCTCATCGACGGATGGATTCACCCTGGTACAAAAGGGTAAGAAGCGTGCCGCGGAGTCTCGAGCCCCGCGGCCGCTAAAATTAGCAAAGCCGCGAACGCGTCGCGCCCCCGCCCTCAGACTCCCGTTGCGCCTCCAGCCCGTGCCACTCCGTCGCCGCGTCCGGTGGCACAAAATAAAACCCAGACCCCTCCCCCGGTAATCCTTCAAGAGAAGGCAGCTTGGGATCGAGTTTCCCTGGTGAGTTTCCCTGGCCCTTAAGGCCAAAAATATCAACTTCACGAATGCCCGTAACCTCGCGAACGGCATTCAAATTAAGGTTCGAACACCCGACGACCATAGGGCCCTCTCTTCTTACCTCCGTAAGGAGCGTATAAGTTTCCACACGTATACGCTCCAGGAGGAGCGCGAACTCCGTGCCGTCATACGTGGCATCCCTAAAGAGTTGGATGCCGAGCTAGTCAAGGCCGACCTTCTCGAAGGCCTACCGGTCCGTCCT